AACACACCCAAAAAGAGGCATACCATCTTCATCCCTTGTCTTTGCAGGCAATCCTTAAGAGTTCCACAACTACTGGATGTGGTTCTTTTTGGAACCTGGACATTTCACCTCGGCTAAAGGCAGTAAATGTGACAGTAGATGCACATATAAGTCTGTTTCCATGAAACTACTCAAAGTCAACTAACCAGAATATGGGGCAAAATTTATATTCTAATTAATGGGTTTAGGAGAAAATTTTTTTACCAATTCATCTGCTGTAGAAAATCTTTGTGCTTTAAGCACAGGACGCTAAACAAAACCATTTTCTATGTCGACTGAGAAATTTCTAATGTTTCATGGGTTTATGAAGAGCAAATATGACTAAACAGTGCTTAAGACTCGAACTGGGCCATCAAGATGGCTCAGCAGGTAAAGCAATTGCTCAAGCCTGATGACCTGAGTTTAATCCCTGGAATCCAAGTAAAGGTAGAAGCAAAGAACTGACTCCAAAAAGTTGTCCTGTAACCTCTGCATACACACCATGGCATTAGCACCTGCACACACAATAAAACAAAAGGTCTTAATTTAAAACAATTCCGAAACTACAGAGACAGGGCTCAATCATTATGCCAAAAGTAGGGTGAGGCAGCCATGTCCATGTACGTGTAGACCCAGACATTCAAGATGAGACACAGGGAGATCACATGAATCCAGAATTCAAAGACAGCCTGGCCAGCATAGTGAGTCCTTCAGCTCCAAACAAGTAAAAATAATATAAATTGTCTACCACAGACAGGGGGAAAATTTTCTAATAGGACAGATTTATTAGTGATTTTTACTTGCCTTGTTCCAAAATGTAGGAAATTGCTGGGCATGGTGTTTCATGCCTTTAATCCCAGCACTCAGGAGGCAGAGGCAGGTAGATCTCTGTACAATAGAAACCAGCCTGGTCTATATAGTGAATTCAGGCCAGATGGGGCTACAGGGAGACCACGTCTCAAAAAAATAATTAGAAAATCTAATTAATCTAAAGGTTTCTAATTAGCTAGATTCCAATTAAATAAGGCTTTCTTGTTTTGATTATTTTGGTCTGGTTTGGTTTTTCTTTTGTTTTGGTTTGGTTTTTGCTTCTTTTTTTGAGACAGGATCTTACTCTGTAGTTCAGGCCATCTTAGAACTCACTGTATAGCCCAGGCTGGCCTCAAATCCATGGCAATCCTTCTGCCTAATCTCCCAAATACTGGGATTACAGGCATGAGCCATCATATCTGGGTTAAAATAAAGCTTTCTTGGTCGAGTATGCTAAAAATAAGGCTTCCTTAACTGGCACTATTTATTCACTTGGATTTATCATTTCAAGTTTTAAATGGCCTTGCTCCACTCCTTTCCCTATTCGCTTACTGTATGATTACAGAGTAGCTCCTCATTTACTCATAACTTACTTTTAGCTGTTGAAATATATCTAGCATGTTTTAACAAAATAAACTCAAGAGTCAGGCATGGTGGCACATACCTTTAATCCCAGCACTCAGAGGCAGAGGCAGGCAGATTTCTGTGAGTTCTAGGCTAACCTGGTCTACATAGTGAGTTCCAGAGTTCCAGGACAGCTGGGGCTACAGGGAGACCCTGTCTCAAAAAGACCACAAAAAAAAAAAAAATTGCGAAGAGCAACAATTTTCAACATAAATGCTGGCAGCAAGTGTATTATTTTCTATAAAATAATTTGATTCAAATGTATATAACTACCAAAAGGAAAGTATTATTATGCACTAGAATGCAAATCCAAATTACTGGGGATTTTTCTTTTCACTGTCTCCTTAGTGAATTAAATCCAAATTTAAGAGTGGAACCCAAGCACATAGAGGCTTTAAGAGTCCCAGAGTAACAGAGTCATAGCTCTAAGCAACTGTTTTGTTTTGTTTTTTAATTAAAATCTTCCCCCTCACTTCTTCCCCTTGGTATTAAATACACACCTAGAATTTGAAAAATAGGCCAGGAAAATGTTTTAAAATTCAAACATTAAGGGATTGGAGAGATAACTCAGTGGCTAAGAGCACAGACTACAGAGGCCCTGGGTTTGGTTCCCAACACCCACATGGCAGCTCACAACTGTCCTTAACTCCAGTTCCAGGGGATGTGTGCCCTCTTCTGGCCATCAGTGGACATTTTACAACACTGGTGAACTTACACATATGCAGGCAAAACACTCACACATATTAATTTTTTTAAACAATGTTTTAATTCAAACTTGAAAATGTAGTTGTGGGGTTGGAGAGATGGCTCAGCAGTTAATACATGGCAGCTAACAATCATCCATAACTCCAGTTCCAGGGAATCAAACACCCTGTTTCTGGCCTCTGGGGCACTGCATGCACCTGGTGTACTTCATACATGCAGGCAAAACACTCATACACATAAAATAAAAATAATAAAATATTTTTTTAATTAGAATGGAATTGTTACTTTAACACTTCCTCAATTATAAAACACAAAACCATAAAGAACTTTAACAGAATCTGGTACAATGGTACAAGTCTGTAATTCCAACACTTCAAAGGTAGAAGAAAGCAGAATAGTACTTCAAGATCAACCTCAGAGGCCAGTCTAGGCTACATAAAATACTGATCTCAAAAAAAAAAAAAAAATTAACAAACAAGCTGGGTAAAGCAAGTATTTGGGAAAATTCTATTTTTAGAAAACTTTTTGCAGCCAAGGGTGGTAGTAAATGCCTTTAACACTTGGGAGACAGCAGCAGGCAGATCTCTGTGAGATCAGGAGGCCAGCCTGGTCCATATAGGGAGGCTCCACATCAACTAGGGCTACAGGGAGACAGTATCAAAAAGACCAAAAAAGCTAGGCGTGGTGGCACACGCCTTCAATCCCAGCACTCGGGAGGCAGAGGCATGTGGACCTGAGTTCGATGCCAGCGGTCTACATAGTGAGTTCCAGGACAGCTGGGACTACAGTGAGACACTGTCTCAAAAAGACCAAAAAAAAAAAAAAGATTTACACATTTACTTAATGTGTACATGGGAGCATGGGAACACTGCAGTACATGTTGGGGTCAGAGGATCAGTTCTCTCCTTCCACCATGTTGATCTAAGGGATCAAACTCAGGTCATTGAGCTGGAAGGCAAGTCCATTTACCCATTCAGCAACCTGCTGGCCCAGTATAAGTAAATCCCAAATTCACAAATAAGTTAACTTGAAGTTTGACTTCACCAAAGTATGTTACAGAAATCATAAAAAGATTATTAGTCAAACTGCGTTACTGATGATTACCTTGGGGAGGCGCTTTCTCCTTCA